GCCCACACGCCGTCAAACAGCCTCGTGGCCGCTGTTGCAAAGCCGTACATTTTTGAAGTTTTTGCCTCGAATGTTTTATGGGGCCGACGGTCAAAGCACTTTTACTGCTTTACAAAACGTTTATTCGGATCACAGATCGACTGTACGTGTGAGGTGTATGACTCGTCCCCACAGTCCCTTAAAAAGGCACCACGCCGGAGTAAGAATAGCTACGGGGGGGGGGGGGGGGGGCGTTTCGTACGATTCCTATGCGTAGTATGTTGGTGGAGACGAGTGAACCCACTCTTTGCCTGCAAAGGAAACTGCTGTCTGCACAACACGCAGAAAAAAATTGACAATTCCAATAATCTCACGTGCCCCGGCATTTTGTGCCAACATTTTGTCAGCATTTTTACGCCTGGACACCACAGTCCGTTGCCATACACACCAGCGAGTTATTCGAGCGACTCGATATCGCGGTGAACAGCATTGCCTCAGGCCCTAACCAAGGCATTCCACCATTACAATTTGCAATACCAGAGCGTGACTTCCATTTGTGTGGCTCTTCCAGGAAATATGCAGTGCTGAGGGGCGTTGCGTCGAGTGTCTGTCCCGCCTTTATACGGTGTATCCAGCGTTCCGCCCGATGTAGAGCGATTGCGCGTGGTCAGACGCTAGTGTGGGATGTGGAGGGGTGTCGGGCGTGAAGTCAGACGCAAGTGTGGGTTGTGGATGGGTGTCGGGCGCGAAGTCAGACGCAAGTGTGGGATGTGGAAGGTGTCGGGCGCGAAGTCAGACGCTAGTGTGGGATATGGAGCGGTGTCGGGCGCGAAGTCAGACGCTAGTGTGGGATATGGAGCGGTGTCGGGCGCGAAGTCAGACGCTAGTGTGGGATGTGGAGCGGTGTCGGGCGCGAAGTCAGACGCAAGTGTGGGATGTGGAAGGGTATCGGGCGCGAAGTCAGACGCTAGTGTGGGATATGAGCGGTTTGTCGGGCGCGAAGTCAGACGCTAGTGTGGGATGTGGAGCGGTGTCGGGCGCGAAGTCAGACGCTAGTGTGGGATATGGAGGGGTGTCGGGCGCGAAGTCAGACGCTAGTGAGGGATATGGAGGAGTGTCGGGCGCGGAGTCGGACGCTAGTGTGGGATGTGGAACGGTGTCTGGGAACAGGCGCTGATGTTTTACCTTGTCGACACATCGCTCCATTTTTATCGCAGAGTTGCTCGCTATCTGTGAGTCTTTACGGCTTGCGCTTCTGCGCGGCGAGTCCATATTCGTCATCTTTACGGAATCACTGAGCCCCCTGTTGACGCTACAGCAAGCCTATCAACAGCGTACAATCGTTCAAGAAATACTGTACACATTGCTTATCATGGAGCAGTATGATAAATGTGTCGTTTTCGCCTGGGTACCTGGTCATGCTCCAGTACCCAGAAACGAGCAAGCTGATACCGTAGCCAAGCAAAGCACCGCTCGGTGTTGCCGGGAAGAAGATTCTGGCATCGTTCCTCAGGGTTTCATGATTACATGTATATTTGCATTGCCCCTTACATTACATACCATTACAGTGCATTGCCACAACGTTTATATTTATTTGAAACGCTCGATGACAACACATTGGGGACGAAATCGGCGATAGCATCGCTCAGGAGACCAGACAAGCTTCGCGGCCAGCAAATTCCGGCGAACGCGATTCGTTATATCTAAAGGAGAGCTGACGAAGTGATGCTGTGCTGGTTAGTCACACTGACGAGACGTACTCGTGCCTGCTCTCTGGGGAGGCTCGACCACTCTGCCGAAGATGCGGATCACCGCTGTCTGTGGCTCACGCGCTCGTCGAGTGTCGGAGCTGTGAGGTTTAGCGGAGCTGGTATCTGGTGATGGATCATTTCCCAGCCTGTTTGTTAGGCGACCCGTCATCCATGGATCCCAACCCAGCCACTAATGTCGGAGCTGTGAGGTTCAGCGGAACTGGTATCTGGCGGCGGATCATCTCCCAACCCGTTTGTTAGGCGACCCGTCGCCACGGATCCCAACCCAGCCACTAATGCCGGAGCTGTGAGGTTTAGCGGAGCTGGTGTCTGGCGGCGGGTCATCTCCCAACCTGTTTGTGAGGCGACCCGTCGCCACGGATCCCAACCCAGCCACTAATGCCGGAGCTGTGAGGTTTAGCGGAACTGGTATCTGGCGGCGGATCATCTCCCAACCTGTTTGTTAGGCGACCCGTCGCCACGGACCCCAACCTAGCCTGTAACTACCTAACTTCGACCTGCTGCTGCTCTCAAGCTCCGCCTTACCCCCACTCTGTCATACTCTCGCTCAGACTAACATACCCGGACCATCGTAACCTAACGTCAACATAACCTAACACTGGCTCTAGACTTCACTCCAAACCCTGCTCCCAACTCGGGTCCGTGTCGTGACCAAGATAAGATCAGGTCTTCGTGAACATGGTCTTTGTGACGGTGCCGTCAACGGACGCCGCACCTTTCAGGATACTGTCACAGCGGGATTATCCTGATAGCGATACAGAACTGCGACGCCTGTTCGGAGTAACGAACAAGTCTTTATCTGCTTTGATTCCTGAATTATGCTACAATGACGGGATCTCAGATGCCGTTTCGTTATGTGAGGGGATGCGTTCCCGCCGCGCCATAAGCACGGGCCACCGGCGAATCTGCAGCGCGCTGTCAGCTGACAAGCCATGACACCATGGCTGGTGAAAGGCGCGCAGCCCACTGTTTAGCTTAAGTTTTGATTTAATTGGCGCCATATTGCAACTTATTAGCACCACATCGCAACCTCCTTCCACGATTCTGGGCGTGATCCTTGGATGACGCATGCGCGAGAGAAGGACTGGGACGACTGTTTCGTGCACTTTGGTGCATTTTCCATAATATTTGTATGATTATTTCACAGGTTAGTAGGCTGTCAATAAATAATGTGGGGTATATTGGCCATTTCCAACCCTCTCCTGGCTACGCACTGGCTTCGCTGAGTGAACCCCCTTCTCCCGTTACGCTGTGTAAGCGTTATGTCTGTTTGGCCCGTAGTTGAGCTGGGGATGCGGAACAAACAAGGGGTTGTTTCCTGTTATGACGCCACTTGACAATTTTAAGACTACTAGACTTTATCATCACGTGTATAAAGCACTGGGAACGTGTTGCGGTGCGCCGATTTCCCACATGTAGCCTTACATACGTGTCTGGACGAAGTCATATGATGACCTGGCGGTGGAAGCTGAAACCTTGACGTCAAGTGTTGAGACGCTACATCTGGCACACACACATTTCATTTGGTCCGCTGAGGGATGCACGCAGAAAACCCTAGCCGGTATGTGCTCCCCAGCATCTTGCCGGCGATTAAATTTGTTCTTTTGCCCGTGCGTCACTACGTGAAGCCGGCCCTGGTCCTAGAGAAAAGCTCCACGGTTAGGTCTTGCCGCTAGGTTTGGTTCGCGTGAAGTGCCCTTTACATTTTGTAATTATTTGTGCTCTCTCCTGATTTATTCATGGGAATACCTAAATTGCATCGGGGAATCCCTGATTTTGCCTGTACCTGACGAAGAAGTCAAATGGTGGGAAAGTTCGAGGTCAGGTCACTGGTGGGTACCCATGGGATTTCCAGCACCTCGAGAGAAAGCACCAGCCACCAGCCTGACCGGGTCATCAACTGTGCTCAGATACTGAACACTTCTTTTTACTTGTTGGTGACAACTTTTGTTCCTAAATCCCATCGACCCTCGGCTGTCACCAACGGAAAACCTTTTGTGTGTTGCCGAACCTTGCGGGTCCGCTTCATCCCCCACCGATCAGCTTTTCCATTCATACGTTATTTCAACACACACAAACAGGTCACCAATGAGTCAGCGTGAGCTTGCCCCCTGCCGATGCCCCGGCCGGTATGCTGTCACCATGCCCCGTCATTGTTGGGGAAAGCCCGGCTCATTCCCCGCGCCGATGTGCACCGCGCTCCGCACCTCCAGCACGCACGCCCGGGGCTGACAGCTCCGATTGGAGCGTATTGCCAAGTTGGCGCTGAAAATAAGCTGTTTTATGGCTGAGATGGCGAAGAGCGACACGTGCGAGGTTTGTAGCTCAGTTTCCCGGAAAGACAGCTACTTTTTGTAAGCAAACGTTAGAAACAAAAGATGAAGATGAAATACACGATGAAAGCTCGTCATTGAAAGCCCTTCATAAATGTCTGTACTTATGGCCTCGGACTTTTTCAAGGCATTTTCCCCCAAGGCTGGTGACTTTCGACGCTCTACCGAACCTGTTCAGCATCCAAGCTAGAGAGCCGTATTGATATACTAAATACCTAGGCCGGCCGCCAGACGGGTGCGGATCGATCCTGCGAGGGATTATGACGGTGCCGGCCTTTGTTGCCAGTTTTTTTAGCGCAGTTCCTGCCTAATTTTCTCCAAAAGGCAAGGAACTGTGGTATTCCTTTGGTTAGCGTGCCGATCATGGCCCATGCTGAGTGGCAGACGTAGCCTTGGTTCGAGGCAAATCATCTCCAGGTTCTGTTCTTCGTCTATGATGTTGGATTTAATCTGGCCAGGGGGAACAGCTGGCGGTATGCGACTACCACTGTCGTCAACAATTTGTTACAAATTCTGGCTGGTCCCAGGGGCCACTTGGCAGTGGGATTAAGTGTCGACACAATGAACTCAGCTAGTGAGTACACTGATCACAACGGTATTCGAGGGGATTTTTCACGCAAAAAATTGCACGGACACCAATTTATACATGCACGTAAGAGAATATTCCAAATCACAAGCTACGGATTTTCGGCGATGTCCATGACAGTTTTTACCCCTGTCGCCCAAAACTTGGCAGTTTAATGATATCAGATTTGTTGTGTGCTCTCGATAAAGCAGCTATCGATATTTTTGTCGGCAATTGTTAGCAGAGTTATCCCGCCCAAGAGGCTGTGCGAAAACCGTCAGTTTGGCGATTTATCGCCGGCGCTGGCAACCCTGCGCCCGCTGTTGCCAACCGGCTGCTCTGGTATTTCAGCGCCATGCATGTGCCGTGCCTTAGGTGGAGCCAGTGGGCCGGCCGTCGACTCGCGCAGTACCCGCTCCGCGCCGCTCCGACACAGTCGCGCCACTTCGCCCGCTCGGCAACGCTCGCCATGATCAAGGTGAGCGCGCTCGCGCTCCGGCAGGCTGCCGTGGGACGCTGTTCAGTGTCTGCGGCCTCCTGTTGCCGGGGCTGCCCTCTGGGCGTGTGGGTGTTTCGTGTTGCATATTGGGGTGGCCGTACTCGTTCATGTCTGCGGTTCGGCATGCTTCGAATATCTTCTTTTCGCCGTCTATGAGCACTGTACCCTTTTCCATCGCACTCCTTGCTGATTCCTTGTCATTTGTTTTCCAAATATGCGCGTCGTAGGTGTTGTAGGATTGTGATTTGGACTTACGGTGTCTATGAACCATCTGCCGCTTTCAGTCGCGATGCATCTCGCCTTCACCTGCCTCCACCACTTACGTTTCCCTCCCAGGGTGTCTCCAAAAATACATTTTGCTTATTCGATCTGCTTCTATTGCTGCTTGATAGCCATTGGTTAGCTTGCAGGGAGACGTCCAGTTCCTGAGTGATGACATAAATCCGGCAGTTGTACCGAATTAATAACGCTGTGAATGACCACACGTTTCCCCATCCTATTTACGCTCCCTAGATTGCTAATATCAAAGTGGTCCATAATTATGTTAATGCGTCGTGATGTCCCAAGTAGATGCCTGCAGCAGTCCAACGATATTTTGCTACCTTTTTTGTTTGTTTTGCGGCTGTTAAGAGTCTGGCAATTTCAGATAGCAGCCCTTTGTACTTATTTGTGGCTGGTTCTCCTATAAAAGGAGCCGTTACCATTTTTGTCTGCTGCTTTTTAATGTTGATCGTGCCGAGGGCAAATGTCTCCTATCTGTTCCGACTCTCAGAAGTCCGTGACTTAACTCAGGTGACCTGACCTGACCTTATTCCAATCAATGACGCGACATCCGGCGCGCCATCGGCCACCGTCCCCCATTGACCCCTGCCGACCCAACCGTTTCAACATCTCACCAATCTTGCGTGACCTCTAGCGACGCCCCCGTGACCCCGACCCGTGACCTGCCTCTCCCTGCCGTGACCCGACGCCTGGGCGACAGGTCGGAGACAAGCTGCCGGCGGCCACCCTCTTCGAGGGATCGCCGGCCAACAGCGTCAACACGGCCGACCTTTGCAAAGGCAAGACGGTCATCCTGTTCGGAGTGCCCGGCGCCTTCACGCCCGCCTGCTCCCAGGTCTGTCCGCTGGACACGCGAGGGTCAGCGTGGCATGAAGCCCCGCACAGGGTCGGACGCGGCTGTGGTGATCTCAACTAGTCGGCTTTGGGAGTTACCTGTTGGTTATATAAGTATCGATTCTATTTTGGTTATTATGCTATTATATGTCGTGGAATATTTACCTCCAGAGATGTTGTAGATGTGTAGCTTCATTGAGTGCTTAGGATTAGAGTATTTTACAACTTGGGTGCCGCGCTTATCCGTGCACTGAACGGCAAAAGAAGCTGGAGCACCGTTGCAAAGTCCGCGCTAACCATGGCGTCGCAGCTCGCTCCTCAAAACGGGCGAAACAGCTTGAGGCGCGAATGATCGTGCCCACGCCTGGACGGGACGGGAGTGGTGACCACACATCACCCGACTGCGCTGAGCCAGAACAGCTACGCTGGCGGTTAACGCGGCTGTGGCTGGTGGCCAGTTTTTCACCGTTGCGCGGTGAGCTGCCGTTGGGCTCGCCACCGCGCGCGCGGTCCCGGCGCCGATCCCGCTGGCGAGGCATGTTGGAGTGTGGCGGGCGCGGGAGGACGTCACGTCACGGTTCCGGTTCGCCCCGGCGCGGGCTGAGCTCATGTGGCCAGGCTTTCCCGCGGTTTTGCCCGGCTCGCGCAATCCGACGGCGGAACTTGGCCGCCACGCACTGGGCCGATCAGCTCCGGCGGGAGTCCCCTGGCGGAGTCGGCGGCGACCTGATGCAACCGTCCGGCCTGATGCAACCATCCAACCGTCCGCCGCCGACCCTGATTCGGGCTACGCTCAGAACAGAGTTCGTCGCGCACCGTCAGCGCCGTCTCGTGCCGCCCTCTGCTGGCGGTCCTCGAGCCGCTCCTGTGCGATCTAATGGCCCTCGGGTGTGGCTGCCCAGACGGGAGCGAGCCCCCAGACCGCCTGCCCTCGGGTGGAGCTGCCCAGACGGGAGCGAGCCCCAGGCCGTCTGCCTCAGGGGTGACTGCCCAGACGGGAGCGAGCCCCAGGCCGTCTGCCTCAGGGGTGACTGCCCAGACGGGAGCGAGCCCCAGGCCGTCTGCCTCAAGGGGTGACTGCCCAGACGGGAGCAAGCCCGACGGACCCAAGCTCGGCCGTCGGGCGCATGTGCAGCGAAACGATTATTCCGGCTGGCGGGACGCGAATCGGGAGACGTAGATCCTGCAGCCAGCTCGTGCGGACGTGATTGAAGGTCACCTCCGGAGCGGCTGCTGCTGGGGTCGTCTGGGAGCAAGGGCCATTCGTTGCAGCGGTGTACACTTCCCGTGAGCCCACATAGGAGGCCGGGATGCTATCAGGGTCTTGTTTGTTTATGTGACGCTGGCTTTCTTCGAAGGTCTCACTGCAAACGACTGACCTTGTTGGAGCTGGCATGGGGCTCATTAGCTTACATTAGCGAAATATGTGGACATCATTTGAGGTGTTGCTTTGCGCTGTGATGCATTTATCATGACAGTTTGGAGTTTTATGTGATCATTTGGTGCAAACATGTGCTTGCATCGTTAGGAATAAGTAGCTTAGGCGTTGCACAAGTCACTTCCTTTTGTCGTCTGACCCCGCTAAATGATGGATATTTTTAGGGCGCAATTAGCATTCTAAATTATCACCACATGAGGCATTGTTCACGTTTCTCAGGAATCACAAATGGATATGTTGTAGGCATCTCATACTCTTTCATGCATCGCTCCTGGGGAATACAATATGGCAAACATGCAGCGGACGTAAAAGAGTGCGAAAATCGTTAGCTGCCATGGAGCGAACACTGACTGTCTGTCACCGACTCTGCTGTCAAAGTTAAGCACATCCCTTCTACGAGTTTCATTCGTCTCACCTAAAGAAAAGTATGCCACTCTCCTGTCCCCCGTGTTCTCTCTGCGTCCTGCCCGCGTCCCGCCTGCTCCTCATCCAAGGATCCCTGGCGGGGGCCTCCTCGCCAACTCGCCTCATCAAGCCGACCTTGAGTGCCGATCTCCCTTTCCGCAGTGGCGTCGGACGGCCTCCGCGCGGCGGCGGCTTCCGATCCCGCTGTTTGCCCGTCTGGCGCCGTGTTTGCGGCCGGTTCTGCCGCCGGCGCCGTCCATGAACGCGACGCTCTCCGGCGCCGGCAGCAGCGCTGTGACGTGGCGTCTGTGCCATTTCCGTCCTCCCCCCCCCCCCCCTGCAGCGGGGAGGTCCCCACCGCCCCTGGTCGGCTGCAGGCGCGGCCGCGACCGTCCGGCGTGATAGCGGCAGCTGCAGGAAAGGAGCGGGGGAGGGGGGATTCAGGCAACGATGTGACTGGTTGGACCGGTGCAGTAGTGTTGACGGACTTTCAGTATACAGTGCGCGCTTTCTGGACATTTATTGTACCGGCGTATAGGACGGGAGTGGACATGTTGCTGTAAATGCCTGTTGGGAAGGTCTAATGCAGTATGTTTAACCTTAACATGTGCTCAGCCATTAGGACTCGTTTCAGTTGCGCCAGCGTAGTATATACCGTATGATCTTAACACATAGTTCCCTACTGCGTTCCACCACGTGGCGGTTGTGTGGCTGTCTACCGACCCTCGCAGCGGAGGGTCGTATTCCGGATGGCATAGCCTACCGACGCCTGGCATCTGACATGCCCCAGCCATCGCCCCCCCCCCCCCTCCTCCTCTCACGCCGAGCTGGAAACCCCTCCCCCTAACCTGATCTAACCTGCTGACCTGATCCCCCGTTACAGAGCCACTTGCCCGGCTACGTGGAGAGGGCGGACGCCCTGAAGGCGGACGGCGTGGACGAGATCGTGTGCGTGGCCGTCAACGACCCGTTCGTGACCGGCGCCTGGTCCCAGTCGCAGAAAGCCGAGGGCAAGGTGAGAGGACGCCACGTGTCGCGGAGCCGCGCGCGGCTGCGGGCCGGCGGAGGGGTACTGGTCGCGACTGCGAAGCGGGCGCCATCTGGCCGCTGCTGCGGAACACCGGGTGGCGCCACGTGTCATGCCCGGCTCGGTCCGCCCCAGCGTGCCGCGGTGCCGTTTTGTGTGCCGCGTGTCCATGTGCCGCCTCGTGCGCTGCGTGTGCCGCCTTGTGCCCGCGTGTGCTACGTGTTCGGCTCAGTGTGTCCAGTGCCACCTCAGTGTGGAGCGGCGGGATCGCCGTGAGTCGGTGCGGCCGTTTGGTCCGTGTTCGTGACCACAGCCCCTGCGCCGCCGACCCCAGCCCGAACCCGTCACCGCCGCGACGGCCGCGCCGTCGAATGACGCCACCGCTCGCCTTACCGTCGTCATGCTGTTCCTCCTCACGCCCCGTGCGTGCCGCCGCCGCGGCTGACCCTGCTGACCCCGCTTCCCACGCAGGTGCGGATCCTGTCTGACGCGAAGCGCGAGCTCACCTCGGCCATGGGCATGGAGTTTGACCTTGCCGACGTGCTGGGCACGATCCGCTGCAAGCGCTTCTCCATGCTGCTCAAGGACGGCGTGGTCGACTCGCTGGAGGTGGAGCCGGACGGCAAGGGCCTCTCCTGCTCGCTGGCCGACGTCATGGCCAGGAAGCTGGCGAAGAAGTAGCGCAGCACTGTGAGCTGCCTCTGGGGGAGAGGCCGGGGCGCCGCGCCCGGTATTAGTCCAGAGCGCCGCCGTGTTACCCTCACCTTGTCGCTGTCCCGCCATCTGTGTCTCTGTTGATGGGTGTAGCCCTGTGTCGGTTAGCAGGCAGAGACTGCCTTTTTGAAGGAAAAGTTTTGGGGAGCTTCTTCTGGGATGGCGATGTCCAGCAGTTTGCGTTCTCGGCGAAAGGTTCACGAGATTCCTAAGTGGCATTAAGTATATCATCGAAAGGAACGTGTTTGCACCATCCGGAAGATAACGTCTGGGTCGGAGTTTCTGCCAGGTCTCGCTTTACATGTTCCTAGTCCCTAAGTAATTTGCCGTTGTATTGCCGCCGTATAACACCTCTCGCTCGTGGCTGTGTTGTATTTTAGCTATGAAGCGCGTCTGAAGAATACACGCACTGGACAAGTCATGCTTTGTGTGAAGCTGGGGCTTGCACACATTCCAGCTGAGTCGACGTGAGTCCCGCGACTGCAGAGCAGTGTATAACTGGCGCAACAATAAGATGTTTTGCGCCAAACAAGAAGCCATTCTGTAGTCGCTTTCTCTCAAGCCCATCCCTGTCGGGCCGGCCGCTGCTGCTGTTGGCACGAAGGCCTAGGTTCGTTCCCGGCGACGGCGACTGCGACGCCTGGCATGCTCTGAGTCGCGCGACCCGCTCCCATCTGCGTGCCGGGGCCTGTAACTACCAGGCGGTTCGGTGCCTCGGTCGAAACGAGCCTACTTGGAGTTCTCGCGTTAGCCGCTAGGTGTCACTACTTTGATGTTGCCGTCCATGCGGTAACCACGAACGGCTAAGGCTTTTGCGGTAAGATCTGCGTGAGGTTTCTGATGCGGAACGAGAAGCAAATATGTTATCACCGCGCGAGACATTCAGCGGGAGCCGAACAAAATCGCAACGAAAAGTCTCAGAAAGATGGGTAAAAATAGTGCGCACCGGTGATGATGCGTACATACGTCGGTTGGTAGGTGTCTTCACGTGCTGCATACACCGTTCGCCCAAATTCGGCTCTCCAGCCTGCTCTCGATGATGCCGGGTGGTAGCATATAGTTGGCCGTTCAACTATGGTACTTCGGTGTGCTTCGGAATATATGTAATGCAAATGCAGATGCACTCTGTACTAGACGTACCAAGGGTGCAGATGGAGAGCGAGCAACCGCAAGCGCAATGCTTCGTGCCACGCCATCGCAAAGTACGTATTGGAGCTGTTCAGGATAAGACGGGAGACGTACCGTGTGTTAAGTGGATGATCCATTCACTTCCATCGTGGTGAGGTCCTTTCAGATGCTCTCCTAAGTACCTATCAATTTGCAATATTCCTCTGTTTTCAGGCGATGCAATGAGTTTGCTAAACAGCATTTCGAGCACCAGCTGTTGCTCAACTGAACTTAAAGTGTGGTGGCACGATTAGCACGCGCCCGAGGGGGTGGTTGGGTACCCTTCGCTCGGGTGGGAGGTCAATTGAACCCCACCCCTGAGGTCTCAGGAACTAAGAGAGGTAGACACCAAATGCACAGTATGTATTGACCTGTACGCGAACTCATTTAGGTCAAAGTTTGAGATTGGTTCGTCATGAGCTTCCGCGTCAAATAAGGTCAAACAGGGTCAAAATCCGGGCTGGTCTCCAGTGTCCCCAGAATATAAATACTTGCCCTGAACAAAAGTTCGCATGCTCTCTTACGACCAGAGACCTTGCTTGACCTCATAAGATCATGGTACCCAAAATCATACGAGACTTCTTTGAAATTTGCATTTGAATACGCGACAAATATTACGCCAGGCGGCATGTCCCTTTAAAAAAAAAAATGCTGACCTGGACACTTTCAAGTCAGTAACCTATCATAAAGTTCCTAAGAAGTTTGCGGAAGATGCATAATGTGGTTCCTGTTATCAACAAATTCAAAATGAGCACCAGAAACTACCCCAAACAATAACGCTATAGTAATGAAACAGTTTGGGTTTGACCTTGGTCTGACTTTCATACCTGACTTTAGGTCAATGGAATTTGTTCATTGAATTGTTGTGTTGCGTAAGGAAGTATCTCAGAGATGTATGTCTTCGCCAAACACTCCGTTGTTGGATCAGGTTGAACAATTCCCTAGAAATGGACTTCGCCGAATCCATGGCCTGACTTTGACCCGCCGTGAGTCAGCGACCTCACAAGGTACATCTAAATGTTTTATGCCAGACGACCCGCTACTTAATTATCTACAGCTATGCAAAATTTGGCGCGGCTCCGGCGCTGTTCGGAAATCATTCTGGAAAACCTTCGGGAGTCAAATTGACCCTCCCCCTAGCGCGTGTTCATATTGAAATCTATAGATAAGGCAGTACTATTTAATTAATTCCTCGCAAAAAGTGATCAGGAGGAAGGAAAGATAGATGAATTGAAACTTCGGCTGCATGGGTTTATCAAACGATTTTGTTGTTGTTTCGATAAAGGCAAGTGAGCGAAATATCAATGCATCTGTCTTTCCTTTCTCTTGGTTATTCTGCAAGAAATAAGGCCATCAACACTGTGTTAACAAAATACATAATGTTCCTCTCAAATGCACTTAACAGCTTACACAACATTGGAACCTTATTATTCTATGGCCCGCTGCTGCGAACCTGGTGTCTTACTCTCAACTTGTAGTGATTAAGGCTATGGATATATTTTCAAGTAAAGCTATCGTAACACAAGGCCTATGTGTTAACCGGAAAACTGGGCTTGGTTGACTTCCCTTAGTCCAAAAAGAAACTTTGTTTCAATGTAATATGCTGCCTCCTGTTAATGTCATACTTCTTCCGCCCGTCGCGTATCCCATGATTGATCAGTCGTCCTTTGACATGTTCGCTTCACCCCAAATGCTGACATTTACGCTTTGCTAGCACAAACATATTTATAATTGACGTCGGAGAAAATAGTGGACGGGGCTCATTGGTAACCTGATTGGTCACACACCAACATGAGTCCTAATTTCCCTCTTGCATAATGAGAGATGATTGCGTGATTCATGATCCTTGCATACCTGCATGATTGATCTCCGCATGATTGAAGGCTTACACACCTCCACAGCGTCAAGTCTCCGAACCATACCCTAAGCTGATATGTAGCTGTGCTGTTGCGTTCAGAACTTCTGAGCAGGTGCTTGTCTTCTTGGTACCAGCTGATTGCATCACTGCGCTTCTAGTTACGCGCACCGGACACTTATCGGCCTTCCTCTTAAGTCCGGTGTGGGCTAGCGTAGTGTGCCCGCAGTTCGCTGATAGAGGAATGCATGCTGAATTCATATGAAGGCGGTACAAGTCGTATCTTATCCGTCACGAGCTCAAGCTCTAGCTGAGATGCATGCAGAGCTTGTTTTGATTCGTTCTCTTGAAAAGGAAGCGTACAAATGCTAGATGAGGATATTGTTAAGACGGTCATGCTATCATATCAGTACTGTGAGAGGCCAGAGCTGAACATGCTGGACCAACATGGCCCAGCCACAGACATTGCAGTGTTACGCACGGCAGGTCACTGATTTGAATCAGCAGGCGACAACACACCATCTGCCATCGATCTTTGACTTACAATGATTTCGCGTATGTGTTATTCAGCCTACCACTTCCGGTAAGCGTAAGCATGTTGTCAACATGCTTGTCGCTGCAATATTAGAAGGCTTCCGAGGATATATTGACCTAACGACGAGTGTGCGTTGCGACAAGCTGAAAACGATGTGGTGTCTTTTCCGTCCGTTCTCGATTAAGGAGTGACGCATCGGTGACGCTAGTTAGCTGCCCGGTGCAAACATTCTGGGCGGATGTCTGATTGATTAGTCGCTAGATCGAACTGCCGATATCTGAGCTTGTGTTCGAGGCACAATGAAGCAGACACAGTTGTGTAAATTCCGCCCGTTTGTCATCCAGAAGCGCCTTTGTGCTCGCCGCCGATTGGTCGTGGCCCTTTGTTTGCGACCGCCGAGCACAAGTCCGGGTGGGCAGCAGCTGTGTGCCGACTGATTAGCCGGCTATGTGGGGCCCTCTCTAACGACGCGACTGTGGCGGAAGCAATGCGCGCGCACAGCGCGTCGGTCTGTCTATCGAGAACGTTCCGGCCGAATGGGGCCTGTTCTCGCCGCCGCGTGACAAGTTTGCGATTCCGGGATGCGGGTGGAGGGCGGGCGGTTGAGGGGAAGAAGTCGCTGAGACGAGGCTCTGTTCATGGGAGGAGAACATTGGCGGCTCACCGACTCAGCACAGAGCTGCCGGTCCCCTGAGCTAAACGGATTCGTGTCAGCTGCAGCACGACGACGGTCCGATAGCGCCATTTTCGTCCAGTTTTGGTCCGGGCTTTGCACGCGATTTGTTCACGAAAGACCGCAGTCTATCACCGCACTTTTATCCAGAGCAGTGGATGCACGACAGCGCGATGCCGCCGCGAGACCACAGCTCATCACGAGGCCACGTGATCCCGCAAATGACAGGGCCGGCGCATCCCAGCCCGACCTGCCCTGTGCTCGAGCCGCCGCCAGCCCCACGCTCGCGGGGCGGGCCGGCCCCGCGACAGCCGGCCTGCCGACCGACGCTCCGGCCGCGCGTTTACGACCGCCGCCTTTGTCGTTCCCGTCAAATGGAGTCTGGACCCGCTCGGGCAGCGCCATTGTGCAGGCGGCCGCCGACTTCAGATCTCTCCCGAATCGGAGGCGCTTCCGCTGGTGCAATAAACCCGCCGGATCCGCGTGGGTGTCGTCGCCGACGAAGGCGGCGGCGGCGCCTGAGCCAGCCGACGGACGGGTCACGTGGCCAGGCTCTCGGACAGGGCAGGGTCGACCGAGGCGCCACCTGAGCCGTCGCTCGCGCGCTTGGGGTTCGGCTGATCGGTTGGGGCGGAGGAGAGAGGATGGGCGGGTACTGCGTGAGTGCGCTGCCTCTGGTGCTAACCGATGAGTCAGCGGTGGCTCGAGATGGACTCTGAGTCATTGTTGGGGTCCGCGCCGCCCATGACGTGCGTGCACGCTGACGGCTTCAGAAAAACAGACGTAAATGTTTGACGATCTATAACGAGCATGCATGTTTTCGACCGAAGCGCACGCATCTTCGAGCGTTCCCGTTGTATATCAAGTCTGCCGCACGAATACTTCGGACTGGGCTACACGGACCCAGTTGGCAGCGTGAGCTATGTGTGCAGGAAATGCTGTTCCGGATACAAAACAAGGCTAAACAGTGAGACCAGCTAGAAGTCGGCTTACCAGTAAGACGTCTGTAACGGCGTGGGACGAACGAGGTGATAATAGCCAGGATTGCTGTCATCATGGAGGATCAGCATAAGCGAGCCAAAACGGATAAGACTTATCAATGTGTTGGGGTATCCTCATTTCATAAGTTAAGCAGGCAGTGGCTGTGGACTAGCCGTGGTCTGGCAATTTTAACAGGCGCCCAGGTGGTCG